TGTATGGTTTGAAGAGCGTATGACTTGGGCTGTGCATGTAGATAAAATTGTGCTGAAATGTGGAAAAGTTCTAAATGTTATGAGAAGTCTGGTTGGGTGTGAGTGGGGGGCTGAGAGGGAGACGATGTTGGTAATTTTTCAGGCCTCAATCAGATCTGCTCTTGATTATGGGAGTTTTGTGTATGGATCTGCTTCTAAAACTGTTCTGGATAAGTTAGATGTGGTGCATGCAAAGGCATTGAGGCTTTGTTGTGGGGCCTTTAGAACTTCCCCAGTCCCTGCCCTGCTTGTTGAAATGGGAGAAATGCCCTTATGGTTAAGGCGCATTAAGTTAGGGCTACAGTACTGGGTTAAACTTAGAGGGTGTAGTCATACCTTTCCAGCAAGGTGTCTGTTACAAGAGATAGTAGATAATAAATATAATATTTTTTTTGTCATTGTAAACCAGTGGGCTAAGAAGCTGGGCTTGGAACAGGGAGGTAATGTAGAGCACACAAGATGGCTACCTATGCCTTATTGGGTGATGCCTGAATTGAATATTGAGCTTTCTTTTCTTCAGGAAAAAGATAAGAGGAAAGTGACTCCAAGAATAGTGGAACATCTTAATTCAATCAGTGAGAGTACTTTAATTGTTTTTGCAGATGAATCTAGAGATCCAGTTAGTGGGAGAGCCGGCTTTGGGGTGTATGTGGAGCAGATTGGGTTGAAGATTGGTCGACGTATTTCTAATGGAAGCTCTGTTTTCACTACTGAGTTAATGGCAGTTCTATGGGCTTTATGGTGGATTGAGGAAGCCAGACCTAAAGAAGTCACTATCTGCTCTGATTCTGCAGCTGCACTAGAAACTTTAAGAGCAGGAAAAACTACAGCTCGTCCTGACATTATGAATGACATTTTGAATGTGGTTTTTAGAATTGGGTTTGCTTGCAGCGTTACTTTTTGCTGGGTTCCAGGGCATGCTGGGGTTAGGGGGAATGAGCAGGTGGACCGCACTGCAAAGGAAAGCTTAGGCAGAGAAGTAGATGTTCATTTATCCATGGGGAGAGTGGAATTAAGAGAAATAATCAAAGCGGGCTTAACAAAAGAATGGCAGAGAGGATGGCAAAGGGAAGCCAGGGGTAGACACTTATTTTCTATACATCCTAAAGCTAGGAAAATATGTTTATGTGATTCACAGTCTCGTAGGGATTCAGTGAAACTCTGTAGATTGAGGTTGGGTCATTGTGGGTTCAATGATTCTTTGTGCATTGTAGGAAAACATGTTTCTGGATTGTGTGAATGTGGGATCGTTGAAACAGTAAGGCATGTTTTCCTAGAATGTAGAAAGTATAGGGAAGAGAGAAAGGTATTCTTTGTTAGATTGACAGGACTTGGAGTTGAGGCTTTTTCTGTTGCATCTTTGTTTGGACACAGTGAGAAATACAAATTGGTCTCCGGTGCAGTTCTGCAGTTTCTGCATGATACAGGATTGTATGTGAGAATTTAGTTCTAAATCTGACCTGTGGAGGGCAGTAATACGCTTAACAGCGTCTACACTGCCGGAATCTTATAAGAAGAAGAAGCTCTGCATCCGGATCACTAAAGAAGAAGAGCACCGGACGTTCCATAGTACTTCCGGGGTTCGCTTTTCGTCACAACGTCGGAATTTGATTTTGTGGATTTTAATTTTATCCGGAGATAAAAGATGTACGACCAGGACGAAGGTAAGCTGCTGTTTACAGACGATTAACGTTATTAACACAGACTGATTCAACGTTATTAACACAGACTGATTAAACGTTATTAACACAGACTGATTCAACGTTATTAACACAGACTGATTAAACACAGACTGATTAAACGTTATTAACACAGACTGATTAAACACAGACTGATTAAACGTTATTAACACAGACTGATTAAACGTTATTAAGGTTAAAACATGAACCAGCGGCACTCATTAGCTTCTAGCTACTGTTAGCTTCACCAAACTAACGAATGCTAACATTGGTTAGCTCATATTAACATCCTGGAAACAGTTGCTAACACAAGCTAAGGTTAGCTGCTAACACAGGCTAAGGTTAGCTCCATCTAAAACCTTCACTGACCGACATGCTAACAGCAGTTAATGCTAATGGCGCGGTGCTTTGTTTCAGCTAGCATGCTAACAGGCTAACGGCTAACCACAGAAAGTACTCAGATTACTTCAGTTCAGGTACCAATGCTACACAATTATTGATACACAATAAAGTACTTACATAATCAATATTTATGTTTCTCTGGGAGTTAACAGACCTTTTTCACAGCAGCCATTGAGATGAAGTAGTCGGGTAAACACCAATGTCTCTGATGTTTGTGTGTCTGTCAGATAATCAGTATGATGAAGAGGAGGATGAAATCACTCCAGATTTGTGGCAGGAAGCGTGCTGGATTGTCATCAGGTAAACTCACCTGGATTTCACCTGTGACTGAAGAGCATGATCATCATCAATAATGTCGTTTGTTTTATTTAATGAGTCTAAAATTCGCTGATGTGAAACATTTCTTTAATTAAATTTAACAGACTTTTATTTTGAATACCTGATATTTACCTAAAACATTTCTCTTCATAACAAAGACACAACAAATCAGCTGATCAGCACTTTGTCAATACAACACATACAGCTCTTCCTCTACCTGCGAAGCCCTTTGTGTCTCTGCAGTGAGGATGAGGGGCAGAGCGGGGGCAGATTGTTAATATTTAATCAATAACAGATACTTGTACTGTGAGTGAGAAAGGCTTTGCTGAAGTAACAGCACAAAACACAATGTTAGAGAAAAGTGTAGATGTACTTTTGGTTGTGTTCCAACTCTTATTTTGAAGAGACTCTGTTGTGTTCCAGCTCTTATTTTGATGAGAAGGGTCTGGTGCGTCAGCAGCTGGATTCGTTCGATGAGTTCATCCAGATGTCGGTGCAGAGGATTGTGGAGGATGCTCCACCAATCGACCTGCAGGCTGAAGCCCAGCACACCTCTGGAGAGGTGGAGGAGCCGGTGAGGAACAACACCTGGAACTGGACAGGATCTGGTTCCAGAGCCCCCTCTTTTAGTTGTAATGTCACTGTGACGTCACTCTGACCTCCGTTTCCTGTTTCAGCCTCGTTACCTGCTGAAGTTCGAGCAGATCTACCTGTCCAAGCCCACCCACTGGGAGAGAGATGGGGCACCATCTCCCATGATGCCCAATGAAGCCCGACTACGAAACCTTACGTAGGTCTCACCTGGTCCAGGGCTGGGTATCGTTTTCTGATACCTTGACTTCATTACTGGTTTCTGAACAACATACTATAGATATACTCTGAAAATACTTTTTTTGATACCTACTAATTTTAACAACAAATAACATAAGTTACGGTACAATGATTGTACTGACTAACTGACCCACAGATACACGTTAGCTGCACCAGCTAGCTCTGTAGATCAGTATGAGCCTATCTCTGCCGACTTTTTTTTGATACTGTGTAGTATCGATGTAATTTGGCTTAAAAAGTATTGAAAGTCGGTACCCAGCCCTTACCTGGTCTAACCTGTTCTCTACCCCTGCAGGTACTCGGCCCCCCTGTACGTTGACATCACAAAGACCATCATAAAGGAGGGGGAGGACCAGCTGCAGACTCAGCACCAGAAGACCTTCATTGGTAAAATTCCCATCATGCTTCGCTCCACATACTGTCTGCTGAGTGGCCTGACGGACCGAGACCTCTGTGAGCTCAATGAGTGTCCGCTCGACCCCCGGAGGTTATTTCATCATCAACGGCTCCGAGAAGGTACGCTCTGACATCATCATGCACCATGTGACATCATCGAGTCTTTATGATCTATAAGCTGGAGTATTGGTGGTTTTCTGATCTATAAGTAGGGCTGCTCGATTATGGAAAAAAATCATAATCATGATTATTTGGGTCAAAATTGAAGTCACGATTATTCAAACGATTGTTTTTTTAAACTTCAGAAACATGCTGCATTTATTGGACATTTGTCAAAAACACTTTGCAAGGAAGTCCTCAGTTACAGTTACTTTCCTTTCACCATAAACATTTATAAGTCTCCTTTTTACAAGTGTAGCTGGCCGCGTTACCTGTTCCAACGAAAACAACGTGACTGACTCGTGCAGTGCATGCTGTGGGGGAGCAGCAGGAAGGAAGGACCCACGATATCTCTCCTTCACACATCTGGGGTGAAGGAGTCTGTCACTGAAGGAGCTGCTCAGTGTACTGATGGTGTCCTGCATGGGGTGGGAGACATTGTTCATCAGTGATGATAGCTTTGCTATTATCCTCCTCTCTCCCACCACCTGCACTGAGTCGAGGGGGCAACCCAGGACAGAGCTGGCCTTCTTAATCAGTTTGTCGAGTCTCTTACTGTCGACTGCTGAGATGCTGCTGCTCCAGCAGACCACTCCAAAGAAAATAGCTGATGCCACAACAGTATCAAAGCTGGAGTATTGGTGGTTTTCTGATCAACCTGGTTCCCCTGCTGGTTTCAGGTGCTAATCGCTCAGGAAAAGATGGCCACCAACACGGTGTACGTGTTTGCCAAGAAGGACTCAAAGTACGCCTACACAGGAGAGTGTCGGTCCTGTTTGGAGAACTCGTCCCGACCCACCAGCACAATCTGGGTCAGCATGATGGCCAGAGGAGGACAGGTGATTCTTCCCTATTATATTTTTATTGTTCATATAAAATAATGTTACATCCAGACGAGGTAAAGGATCTAAAGGATTGTTTGCAGGCTGACATTGGGCCAACACAATATTACTCATCAATCCGAAGACAGATGTGGTTGATTAACTTATTGATTGTCTCTCTCAGGGAGTGAAGAAGAGTGCGATTGGTCAGAGGATCGTGTCCACGCTGCCGTACATCAGACAGGAAGTTCCTATCATCATCGTGTTTCGAGCGCTGGGCTTCGTGTCGGACAGAGACATCCTGGAACACATCATCTACGACTTTGACGACCCCGAGATGATGGAGATGGTCAGTCTGATTATCAGTTATTGATTATGAAGTGATCACTAACAGGACAGACAGTAAATATACTGAAGGAGAATCTACAGGTAGAGTCATTGATAGCCCCGCCCACAGGGCTCTCACCTTCCTGTCATCAGAACAACCACGCCTTCTTTTGGGTGTAAAGTTCTTTAAAAGTGACATAAATAAAAAATACCTAGTGGCATCATCCATACAAGTTTTACTCTTCAGACAATAACAATAAAAACTCAAACACCGAAGACTGAAGGAGTCTGTGTCCAACTCTTCCTCACAGGTTAGTTAATGACAGACAGTCAGTGAGTGTGTCTGTGTCCAACTCTTCCTCACAGGTTAGTTAATAACAGACAGTCAGTGAGTGTGTCTGTGTCCAACTCTTCCTCACAGGTTAGTTAATGACAGACAGTCAGTGAGTGTGTCTGTGTCCAACTCTTCCTCACAGGTTAGTTAATGACAGACAGTCAGTGAGTGTGTCTGTGTCCAACTCTTCCTCACAGGTTAGTTAATGACAGACAGTCAGTGAGTGTGTCTGTGTCCAACTCTTCCTCACAGGTTAGTTAATGACAGACAGTGAGTGTGTGTGTGTCCAACTCTTCCTCACAGGTTAGTTAATGACAGACAGTCAGTGAGTGTGTCTGTGTCCAACTCTTCCTCACAGGTTAGTTAATGACAGACAGTCAGTGAGTGTGTGTGTGTCCAACTCCTCCTCACAGGTTAGTTAATGACAGACAGTCAGTGAGTGTGTGTGTGTCCAACTCTTCCTCACAGGTTAGTTAATGACAGACAGTCAGTGAGTGTGTGTGTGTCCAACTCTTCCTCACAGGTTAGTTAATGATGTTACTGAGTCAATGTGAGCAGATTGTGTCTGTAGACTGAAGAGAGATGGTGGAAATAAAGGTTTTACTTCCTTAAAACAGCCATTTTTTGAATGGAGTTTGGTGTGACAGTGTGGAGCAGAGGGGATTTGAACCTTAATAATTCCCATAAACTGAGCTGACCTACCTTCTAATAATGAACCTTGGGAACAGCAGAGAGTAACAGGAAGTGGAGATAAACCCTCCTGTTTTCTTCTTCTGTGGTCTCGTAGTAAAAGTTGGATTAATGAACACAAACATTGGTTTACAGTAACGTCACAGACACAGAGACAGGGTTCAATAAGGTCGCTGTATACAGCAATCAGCCATGACATTATGATGACAGTAAATAATACTGATTATCTGGTTATTATGGCTTAATGTACTCGGCATAGACAGTTTCAGAATCAGAAATACTTTTTTTTTTTCAGATAACTTATTATTACTGTTAATGTTACTGATGTGTTTTATTCAGGTTATGTTGTTGTTTTGTTGATCTGATTAACTGTTACAGCTGTAACTATAGTCTCTGAGACAGTGCTATGTTAATGTTAGTTAATATTATGCTTCACACAGACACTGTGTCTTTGCATGCAACTAACTCTCTTTTAACTGCCGTTAATCTAAGAGCACACACACACACACACACACACACACACACACACACACACACACGCACACACCTAAATTCAGCTGTAAACCTCAGCACACACGAGGAGAGGGAAATCAAACCCTCACGCTCCTCTATGCTCTTTGTCATGTTAAGCTGAAACACTTAAGAAACACACCTTTTCCTTTACTTAATTCCCCTTTAAGTTAGATTGTATATTGTGTGTTTTCCCATGTTTCACTTTTATTATTCCTTTAATAAATGCTTGTGTTTATACATGTTGGCCTATTTAATTTCACACAAGAGTGGGTGATACTAGCCTCTAAGAACTCCCCATCCTTGAACTTTGCGTGGGGCTGTGGCTCAGAGGTAGAGTGGGTCGTCCACTAAGGTTGGCAGTTTGATCCCTGGCTCGTCTTGCTGCATGTCGAAGTGTCCTTGAGCAAGATACTGAACCCCGAACTGAATGTGTATGAATGCTTAGTTTCTGTTTCTGGTGCAGTTGTCACCTTGCAGCTGCAGCCATCCGTGTATGAATGTGTGCGGATGGGTCAGTGTACACAAAGACACAACAGCATTGTTTACCGACTGCAGAGAGTATTTAGGATCCTAATAGATAAAATCATTACAGTATTCTTATTTTATGATTAACAAATTAACAAAGATCAAAATTTACATTTACCCAAAAGGGGGCTGCTGTCATCTATGATGTCACTTTGTTTCCAGGTGAAGCCGTCTCTGGATGAAGCGTTTGTGATCCAGGAGCAGAACGTGGCATTGAACTTTATCGGTTCCAGAGGAGCGAAACCTGGCGTGACAAAAGAACGAAGAATCAAATACGCCAAAGAAGTTCTGCAAAAAGAGATGCTGCCGCACGTCGGAGTCAGTGACTTCTGTGAGACCAAGAAGGCTTACTTCTTAGGGTAAGTCCCATCTGAGAGACACCTGTACAGGTGAGTCCCACCTAAGAGACAAGAAGGCTGGGGCGAATCAATGCCATCGATTGGGGAAATATGTTGATTTGCATAACGTACACTGTGTATTGTATTGCTGTGCAGTACAATGTGTAGTACAGTGTGTATTTCTGAGTAATGATGTGTATTACAATGTTTGCAGGTACATGGTCCACAGGTTGCTGCTGGCCGCTCTCGGCAGACGAGAGTTGGACGACAGAGATCACTACGGCAACAAGAGGCTGGACCTCGCCGGGCCGCTATTGGCCTTCCTGTTCAGAGGGTGGGGCTTCTTCTACGCACTGTCATCACATATGACCATTGACCTTTAACCACCAGAAAAACACACACACTAATAGATATTAATATTTTAATATACTGCTGCATATTAAAATGTTTCAATACATTTACTTCCGGTTCAGTTCAATCAGGTTATAATGTGTCAATAGAAATATTAAGAATTAATAATGTTTTTGTTTTCAGAATGTTCAAAAACCTGCTGAAGGAGATCCGGATTTACGCTCAGAAGTTCATCGACAGAGGAAAAGACTTCAATCTGGAGCTCGCCATCAAGACCCGAATCATCTCAGACGGCCTGAAGTACTCACTGGCTACTGGAAACTGGGGTGATGTGAAGAAGGCTCACCAGGCCCGAGCTGGAGTGTCACAGGTGAGAACAGCTGCCTGCAGAAGTTAAAGCTGTGAGGCGGTCTTAGTCTGTCCCTGTTGGTGAGGATCTGGATGTCCGGAGGTCTAAATCTCGTCCGTTTTTATTGTTCTTCCTGAAGGTGTTGAACCGTCTGACCTTCGCCTCCACTTTGTCCCACCTCCGCCGAGTTAACTCTCCCATCGGCAGAGACGGAAAACTGGCAAAACCCAGACAGCTGCACAACACATTGTGGGGAATGGTGTGTCCGGCTGAGACCCCCGAGGTAAAAACACCCCCAAAAAAACACACAGGACCGCACAAATGTGTGACAATACAAAAAAGTTATCTGACCATCTGATCTTAATCCAGTTTAATTCAAGAGACGAGTGTGAGTCTGCAGGAGCTGATTTAAAAGCTATCAGACGTATTGAATAACTGATTATTCGCGGCTGTGTTATAGGGTCACGCTGTGGGTCTGGTGAAGAATTTGGCCCTCATGGCCTACATCTCTGTGGGCTCTCAGCCGTCCCCCATCCTCGAGTTTTTGGAGGAGTGGAGTATGGAGAACCTGGAGGAGATCTCCCCTGCTGCCATTGCAGAGTACTGATTGATTCACATTGTCTTTATTTGAGTGATGAATGTCTCAACGTGACCTGCAGAGGGCAGCATCACTCTGTCACAATAATAAAAACAGGATCAACCAAATCTCCAGAATGAATACTGCAGTGTTACATGGAAAATCAATAATCAAACATTTAGATTACATGTGATTTTATATTTGGTCTTATTTGTGTTTTAGTGCCACTAAGATCTTTGTGAACGGCTGCTGGGTCGGAATCCACAAAGATCCTGAACAGCTGATGAACACGCTGAGGAAACTCCGCAGACAGATGGACATCATCGTGTCCGAGGTAACCAGAGCCTATTCATTATTTATAATGGAAAACTATGTGTCTAACCTTAACATTAGTCATATCCACACTGACAACCAGTCCAGTATTTAGCTAATCCTGGTAAAATATGCCTACAATGGTGCTAACATTGTATCCACAACCAATGGGCACACAGAGTATGTAAGTCAGTGGTAGCTCAGTGTTCCTGCTGCTGCTGAACGTTTCAGGTGTCGATGATCAGAGACATCAGAGAGCGAGAGATCAGAATCTACACAGACGCTGGACGAATCTGTCGACCACTGCTGATTGTCGAGAAACAGAAACTACTGCTGAAAAGACGACACATTGACCAACTGAAAGAGAGGGAGTACAACAACTACAGGTGAGACAACTAAAGGAAGTAGAGTATATCAGTTGACAAGCCCGACTGAGGGTCAGATCCACTGGATGACTTTTCAAAGCGTGAAAATTACAGAAAAGTCATTAAATCCAATGTTTCATTAAAATACACTGACTCGTTTGTCCAAAGTAAAGTAAAAAATACTATATGGTTCCAAAATGAGTCGGAGTAAAAACTATTTATATACTATTAATATTTTCATGAATTGTTTATTTTGACTAGTTTGAAGACGGGGAATACAGTTTTAAATTGATTCAGACTAAAGCCGGTTGGGAAATTTGAATTTGCCAAAACCTATGTGAACGTATACATCATTGTTATGACAGCAGACTGACTGAATGTGGAGAAACTGAGACAGATCTCAGGCTGTAGATCATCTGTTCTGTAAATGTTCATTAATGTTTTCAGAATCTACTTCTTTACACTAAAACAATTCTGTTATTTAAAGGTTATTGTAAACTAGTTTTACTGGTCTACTGTAGACTGTCAGTTGTTCCTGTAGTCTGTTGATTTCTCCAGTTTGTCTTTGTGTGTTTGTTTGTGGTTGTTAGCTGGCAAGACTTGGTGGCGAGTGGTGTGGTGGAGTACATCGACACTCTGGAGGAGGAAACGGTGATGCTCGCCATGACCCCTGATGACCTCCAGGAGAAGGGCGTGGCCTATTGCTCCACCTACACGCACTGTGAGATCCACCCGTCCATGATCCTTGGAGTCTGTGCTTCCATCATTCCCTTCCCCGACCACAACCAGGTACAAACTAACATTTATCTGTAAGTATGGTTCTACGAACTCTTCCTGACTGCCAGAGGCACCGCTCATCTATCTTCTGTCCATCCATCCATCCCTCTCAACACTGGACGACTATTACCAGTAGGGTTGGTTGAATTTTCTCACTGGCCACCGTCAGTCCAACAATCGCTGATTGCTGATATATTTGTCCATGCGTGTGTGCTACACCAGTCCTCACCGCCCCAGTAGTTGCTGCGTGGAGAGCCGCTTCACTCTTCTCCTCTCCCGGCTGTCCCTGACTTTCATGCAGTCAGAGTTCTGGTTCGAGCCTCTGTGAATCACCTTGCTACTGTTTTTCCTGTTGAGGCCCAGACAGATTTTATGTTTTTTATAGTTTAGGTTGAATTTTCTGGGACGTACAGAAAAAACAGCATGCACCGCCCTAAGGATTGGAGTGCTAGCCTGTAAGGCTGCCCCCAACGAAAGATTTTCAACTAGTAGCACATTCGGGCCCTGCTCTGGTTCTGTGGCTCATTTGGGCCCCGCTCCCCGGCAGTATTCCACGCTGGTTCCCTCTGCTGCTACGATAGTAGTACTTAAACTCCCCCTGTGCTTCCAGGTCCGGGTACAGACAGCTAATAGGACCGCTAGCTAGCTAATAGCAGCTAGTACAGTTAGTATATGCAGCAGTGCAGCAGTAAGAGACTTCCTGTGTTACAAGAGAAAAGGTCCGTGTTGCCACAATCCTCTGATACTTTGGTCCCATTTTTGGGTTTTTTTCTCTAATTCCCCAGGTTAGAGGGTTCCTTGTACAATTTACAGCATTAGTTCTCTGAGAATCCTGAACCCAATCAACGTGGGATCAGGAGATCAGTGGTTCTAATGTCTGTCTGTTCTCATTGTTCAGTCTCCCAGGAACACGTACCAATCTGCTATGGGTAAACAGGCCATGGGCGTCTACATCACCAACTTCCATGTGCGAATGGACACACTGGCTCATGTGTTGTACTACCCTCAGAAACCGCTGGTCACAACCCGATCCATGGAGTACCTGCGCTTCAGAGAGCTCCCTGCAGGTAATACTCATCTGTACTGTCGGACAGAAAACACTCACTAGATGATGAGAGTTCAGTGCGAATAAATTCAGTAAGTTTCAGTTATAAAGGTTAAGAGCCATGATGTTCTTCAGGTGTTTAATATGGTCAGCATGTTAATTTCTAATTACAGAAACTTTCTGGTGACCTGCTCGCTTACTGTCAGGTAGAGTTCTTCTGTGATTCTCTAACTGAAACGTCGTGTTTCAGGTATTAATTCCATTGTGGCAATTGCCTCATACACTGGATACAACCAGGAGGACTCTGTGATCATGAACAGGTCGGCAGTGGATCGAGGTTTTTTCAGGTCAGTTACTTACTGCTACACCAGAGTAGCAGTTACTGCTGTAATCTGAGTATTAGTTCCTGTGTATAAAGCTGTTTTTCACCCTGCAGGTCGGTTTTCTATCGGTCATACAAAGAGCAGGAGTCTAAGAAAGGTTTTGATCAGGAGGAGATCTTTGAGAAGCCGACACGTGAAACCTGCCAGGGTGAGAACCATAAAGACTGTCATCTGACTTCCTGTTGTAGTTCACACCTGTCGGGTGTGATAGCAGCATCCAGTCACAGGTGTTGATATCATTTGAGGGCAGAGTTGACTTGTGTCAGACTGAGAACAATTTAAAATTGTCCTTAGGTATGAGACACGCCATCTATGACAAGCTGGACGATGATGGGCTCATTGCGCCAGGCGTTCGTGTCTCTGGCGAGGATGTGATCATCGGGAAGACGGTGACGCTGCCGGAGAACGACGACGAGCTGGACAGCACCAACCGACGCTACACCAAGAGAGACTGCAGCACCTTTCTGAGGACCAGTGAGACTGGCATCGTGGACCAGGTGATGGTGACCCTGAACCAGGAGGGCTACAAGTTCTGCAAGATCAGGGTGAGAAGACGCCACACCACACCTGAGACACCTGACAGTAAAACACCTACAGCTCAAGTCTTTATTTCTGATGAGCTTCCTCTTTCATGCAGGTTCGCTCGGTCCGGATTCCTCAAATCGGAGACAAGTTTGCCAGTCGACACGGACAGAAAGGAACCTGCGGGATCCAGTACAGACAGGAGGTAAGCAGGAAGTCAGAAGAAGGGAGGTAGACTTGTCATTTCATTCTGAATGTCGTCAGTTACAATCAGAAATAGTCACCAACTGATCATCCATCTTATTTATCGTCTCTGTGTTGAAGGACATGCCGTTCACATGTGAGGGAATTACACCTGACATCATCATCAACCCTCACGCCATCCCATCCAGAATGACAGTCGGCCATTTGATCGAGTGTCTGCAGGGCAAGGTAGTAATCAATACTTATATATCAGTAATATCATTAGAAAGTATAAATAATAATAGAATAGTACACTATTAAACATTGCTCGTTTCAGGTTTCTGCAAACAAAGGGGAGATCGGCGACGCCACACCATTTAATGACGCTGTCAACGTGCAGAAAGTGTCAAACCTGCTGTCTGAATACGGATACCATCTGAGAGGAAATGAGGTCACTACTTCCTGTTTCACTTGTCATGAACCCTGTGTGTGTGATGTCATGATTTAAAATCAATAAGATTGATAATGGCAGATGCTTCACCTGAGCCCCTCCTCTCTCCCAGTGCATGCCTTCAGATATTCTACCCGAACACGTCTGTGTCACCAATGGATCAATATTATTGATTCTTATTTGTCACCAATTCTTATTTGTCATTGTGACTGTGGAGGGCTTGTCAGTCTCACAGGGTTTCCTGTCGCCTTTTATGCGAATCAATTTGTTTTATTATTGATTATAAATACATCAGGTAAATACCAATGTTTCATAAAACAGTTGTCAATATTATTGATCTGTCATCAGGTTCTCTATAACGGGTTTACGGGGAGGAAGCTGACGTCTCAGATCTTCATCGGTCCGACTTACTATCAGCGTCTGAAGCACATGGTGGACGATAAGATCCACTCGAGGGCCCGGGGCCCCGTCCAGATCCTCAACAGGCAGCCAATGGAGGGACGATCACGGTGAGTGAGACGCCCGCCTACCTGTCTGTGTTATCTGTCTTTCTTACCTGACTGACTCACCTGTCTGTTGCACAGTGATGGCGGTCTGCGGTTCGGGGAGATGGAGCGTGACTGTCAGATCGCTCACGGAGCGGCACAGTTCCTCAGAGAGCGTCTGTTCGAGGCATCTGACCCGTATCAAGTTCACGTATGTAACCTGTGTGGACTGATGGCCATCGCCAACACACGGACACACACGTATGAGTGCCGAGGCTGCCGCAACAAGACACAGGTAAACAGGATCAATAACTAATCGCAACAAGACACAGGTAAACAGGATCAATAACTAATCGCAACAAGATACAGGTAACGCGATCAATAATCAGTTTAAGATCAGTTATCTAAGGATAATTATTGTGTAATTCTGTAATTAGTGACCGTGTCTGCAGATGTACATAAAAGTAAATTACATGTGTGTAACATTTCATACAATTCTACTGACAGTAGCTCCACAATAATACTTAGTTATAGAGCACAGGGCGGAGGTCAGAGCACAGGGCGGAGGTCAGTACTGTCCATTTATTCTACTGACAGTAGCTCCACAATAATACTTAGTAACAGAGCACAGGGCGGAGGTCGGCACTGTCTAACTTTATTTCATGTTTTAGTGAAGTCCAATAATTTGACACAAACTGTCTCTCAGTCCATTTGACAATAGTACTAAGTTACAGAGGTCAGTGCTATAGATATGAGGCAGAGGTCAGTGCTTTGGACAGATGTTGGGTGGTATCTGAGACTGTAGACTGAAGTTGTGTTTGCAAGCAGCAGCAATCACTTGATGAAATCCAAATATTCTAGTTGAACTTTGTATTGATTCTGTATTAGTTTTGGATGATTATTATTATGACTGTCTGTCCATCAGATCTCTCTGGTCCGCATGCCGTACGCCTGTAAGCTCCTCTTCCAGGAGTTGATGTCGATGAGCATCGCTCCTCGTATGATGACGTCATAGAGCAGCTCGGCCAATCAGCAGCAGGAAGTTTGAAGTTTTTGTAGTTTTTGTCGTCTTTGTTTTTGTAAAAGTAAAATAAATCAGATTTTCTTCTGATGATTGTTGGTCACATGGGTCTTTTTCTGTGTATTCATTGGTTTACAAACATCATGTGATCAAACAGGTCACATGAATAAAAAGATTGTCTTAATGTGAAAAATAATAATTATCATCATCGTTGTTGTTGTTGTTACTAGACATGTTTGTGTTACCACAAACAGCAGCACCATGTTTTCATTTGAAGAGAACAAATTGATGTGAATGCAACCTTTATAAGTATTTAGGTTACATCAGCAGTGATATATAATACCGACTGTTTATGAAAAGGTACTAACGGAGGAAAATATCCTCAGGAATATCTTGTTTATTTTCTGAATTAAAATGATCAGACGATGATGATAATCAATAGCTGCAGCGTTGGAGTGAACTAATAAAACACAAACATTTTCTCATGCTTTTATCAGGTTGTCGTGGTGATGTCCGAATAAAAGATCAAACCTGCATATGAAACAAAAACAGTCTTTGAGCGCTGTGACCTCAAACTATGGAGGAGGTCAAAGGTCAGACAGAGGTCGTGGGAGAGTCTGAACCAATAAAATCTGACGTTTTCTACCAAATTCAGTTTAACAAAATAAAATAAATAACTGAATGCTTTATTTTACAGAACCAGGATTCACTCATTATTTAAGTTTTCTAGAACAAACTTCTCAAAGAAAAGATGTTTTATTCAGAGGAAAACAGAACAACTTATTTCAGTTTCCAGAAACAGAAAGAGAAAATATGTTAAATATTAAAGTTTAATAAACTGATCTGAGAACAAATCTACAGATTTTTATTACGAATAACAAATAATAAACAATTAATTAATGGTGAAAGAATGAACATTGTGTTCTTTAACTGAACTCTTAATGTGAAAGTACTGTTGCTATGGTTAAATCTTTCCAAAATAAAAGCCTGATTGATTTCACTGCATCTGCTGCTTAGAGGAAAAAAGACAAATGATAAAAAATATAACATGTTAAAATAAGAAAAGTTTTAACTACAGTTTATAATCCATAAAGTAAAGAGAAAATTAATCTTAATTATCTAAAACATTTGCTTTGTAACCGAAACTAAACCCTGAAACAACTACATTTAGAATAAATGTCAATAAATTCAATCTAAAAGTGTTTTTATATTCAGGACTACATGAAAAGAAAAAGTTAAAAAAATCATCTTCAGCTGTTTCCTAACGACCGTCTTCTCTGATCAGCTGATCACAGTTCGTCTTCCTTCGCCACTGAAAGGAGAAAGTTAAACAGTTGTCAAATAATTACATTAAAATTTATAAATAATAATTTATATTTTAAACACCAAACTGCAGGTTCATTCAAATGATTGCTTCTTCTGCTCATTTTCTAAAAGCTTGTCGATCTTAAAGGTTGTTGATTTCAGTGGAGGTCATAAACAACAGAGGTGGGTGGAGTGTAACCTGTAAATCACCTGACTGACAGTCACACAAAGAGTCTGAGGATCTGTTACAGCTCGCCATTAAAAACACCCTGTTACCACAGCAACCACCAGAGACTGCACATGTTCTAAACATGTTGAGACTGAAAGTTTGAACATGAAGCAGTTCAGTACTGTTTGTGTTTAAATCACTAAAACAAACTCTAAATATCTCCTTTATAATTCATATTTTATGTTATATCTCCTTTATGATTTTCTGTTATACAGTTATAAAATAAGTATTGAACACGTCACCATTTTTCTCAGTAAATATATTTCTAAAGGCGCTATTGTCATGAAATTAAAGTTCAGATATCAACATGTCAGCTGTGTTTGTGAATTTGTTGATGATGAGGTCAGAGTCGTCGTGGTTACCTTTCTTGACGATGTCATCGATGGACTCGACCAGGTGAATGGTGCCGACAGCTGAAGCTTCGCCTTTAGAGTTGGTGGCGTGACACTCATATGATCCTTCTTCTTCTTTGGTCAGAGGAGAGATCTGAAAACACATTGCTGATTGGTCTAATGGAGTCGTAAATGTTCCACTATTATAAAGGTGTTTAATTAATTTCATATCGAAGATCAATAAATACCAACTTTTAAGTCCTTTTCAGTGAATCAGATCCTGTTTTACAACAGTAATGTGTGTCACTAACCACCGGCACTCTGTGTGTCAATGTGTTCATACAGTATGTTACTGTATTTATACTGTATACATATATGATATAAGATATATATAACTACCTACAACGCACAAACCTTTTGCACTATTTATATTTAATTTCCACTTGTACAGTTTAGTTTTAGTTTTTTAGTTTTAATCAGATTTCATTTTCTGCATTTTGCACTCCTTGTCCTACTTGAACAATGCAGTGTATATACTTCTATTATATTTTGTATTCTGTAATATTTTTATTTGTGATATTCTTTGTTCTCTGTTTATGCACTATTTTGCCCTATTGCTGCTGTGTCAACCTGAATTTCTCCTAAGGGGGATAAATAAAAGAATATTTTATCTTATATATATATATATACATATGTATATTATGTGTACATATGAATGTGTGACACTCACCAGCACCCAGCCGGTCACTTCATGTTTCTCTGGTCCTCCTCTGGTCTGAATGGCCAGGTTGTCTCTGTCTCCAGGAAGAAGCTCCATCCTCCTCTTCCCACTGAGGACCTGAAAGAATTCAATTCAATTCACTTTCCAAATAGAGCAGGTCTAGACCGAACTCCTTATAACATTTACAAAGACCCAACAGAAAGAAGACACCACAGCATCTTCATCATCATCCTCTTTATAACTGCAACACTTATATCAACACCACTATATATTTTATATATAAACTGTATGGATATTTTTTTTTATTTAATCAAAGGTGTGTGGTAATTTACTGTTGAAACTGTGTTTAAATACTATATAGTTGTGTATCTTTAAATACTATATTGTATATCTTTAAATACTATACAGTTGTTTATCTTTTAAATTATTTACTTTCTAATCAATCTACTTTAGTCTTTAGAGGAAAAATTGGAAGTAAAGAGACTGGGGACACATCATCCAAACAATGTTCAAATAACAGGACAAACGTCAAAATCGTAACTTTTGTGTTACATGGTTTCAGCCAACAGACTGGCCAACAACCGATCACCTGTCAAACACACAGGTTGCCAAGTACACGTCTAAGACCACATATTCTCTCAAAACAAGACAGGCCCTGGAGAATTGTTCCTGCTCCATATCTGAACTGCTGAACACAGATGACAATCAGCCACATCCAGATGTGAAGGATGCAGGACGCTCTGATAATGTGTCAGTAGCCACACAGTGCTGTGACATAATGGTCGAGCTGTCAAAGGCTCACTTTGAGAAAGCCAGGTACTTGGTGTCTTTTGAACTTATTGATCCTGAACTCTTTCCGCTGTTTAAGAACATTTTCCAGCAGAAGCAGCTGGACATTGCATGTGAACATTACCCAATGATCTGCAGGGAGAAACTGAAAGGTGAGCTGATGGTGATGTACAGCAGTGCGGAGTTTGCAGGCCTAACATCCGCAATGTCACTGCTGAGGACTGAGAACAATCTTCAGAGCACTTTTTCTGAAACACTGAAAGTAACCCAAATAGCCAGTTCACTGAAGAAGATCCTTTCTTCGGAGTACAATGGGACAGGACAGGCGAAACGCACTGACTATGCTGTCCATTGAGCGGGACTTCATCCAAAAATCAGCAGACTTTAATGACATGGTGATTAACCTGTTTGCATCCCAGAAAGGCTGTCGATGCTGGCTGTTTTTTAAATAAGGTGACAAAGAGAGAGAGAGAGATTTTTTGGCATCAGGCTAATCTTTTGGCTATGTCTCCCCAGCGTTGCCGTAGAGCACTTGTTATAACAAAGTATACAATGTTGTTGCCATAACTTGATGTGTTCCTGCTGTTGCTGCTGTGTGACATATTCATGAGTGTAATGCATTTGTTAGCCCACCCACCCAAAATCTTAAATAGAATGTGTAGTTGTATATCATTGTATATCTTTACATTACAGACTGTACAGTTGTATATCTTTACATTACAGATTATATAGTTGCATATCTTTACATTACAGACTGTATAGTTGTATATCTTTACATAAAATACAATATAGTTTATCTTTACATTACAGACTATATAGTTGTATATCTTTAAATTACAGACTGTAGAGTTGTATATCTTTACATTAAAGACTATATAGTTGTATATCTTTAAATTACAGACTGTAGAGTTGTATATCTTTACATTAAAGACTATATAGTTGTATATCTTTACATTACAGACTGTATAGTTGTATATCTTTACATTACAGACTGTATAGTTATATATCTTTACATTACAGACTGTATAGTTGTATATCTTTACAGTTGTATATCTTTACATTGAATACTATATTGTATATCTTTACATTAAAGACTATTGTATATGTTTATATTAAAGACTATATAGTTGTATTTCTTTACATTGAATACTATATAGTTGTATATCTTTACATTACCGACTATATTGTTGTATATCTTTATATTACAGACTAAATAGTTGTATATCTTTACATTAAATACCATATTGTATATCTTTACATTAAATATTATATTGTATGTCTTTACACTGAAGACTATGTAACTGTTTATCTTTACATTACAGACTGTATAGTTCTATTATATAGTGAGTATAATTTGTATATCTGTTTCTTCAGACTTAAAGACCATAAAAAAAAGACCATAGATAGATACATCAGAGGACTCAATCTGTTGTTGTTGTGTGTCTGTACTGAATCACTGAGCACTGCTTCCGTGCAGTTAGTCATTCACTGTGTAGAAACTGATGTGGAAACAGATTTGACTTTGAGATTCAGAAACAGGCTGCAGCTTGTTCTTCAGTCTGCAGAGGAATCACAATCTGATCTAAAGTCCACAAACCTGAACAGACAGAGTCTGAACCTGCTGACAGACACCTGAACACCTGGGGCTGCAGGTAACTCATGAGCTCATCACATTCTTACCTTTCTTTAATTTATAAGTTCTGGAAATATTAATTCATCAGGACTTTCTGACACCAGAGTCTCTTTCCATCAAACTGATATCTGACTGTCAGACACAGATTCATTAACTGTTAACTAACCGTCTCACTACATGTGACACTAACATATAATAAATTGACACCATCACAGTCCTGAACCACTTTCTTTATGTCTTTATCAACAGTTTGTTCATGTCAGTTTTATGTGAACAATTAATCACATTTCTGTCATCAAATCAAAACAGCACCTTATTAAACAGTGTATAAACTCTAGAACTGTGTTCTATATGTAGCTGATTCAATCAATAATCAATAATCAGAAGCTGTCACACTGACTGTTTACCATCCACTGTTTAGATCTTGGTGCTTTTTAACTCTAGATTTGAACCGGATGAAGGATTTTAGTCATCGGACGTCTGGATCTTAAGTTATCAGAGAAACAAGCTGAGCTAACGTTAGCAGCAGCTCGGCTCGCAGCCCCCTCCGGGACGTCCTTTGTCTGTCCAACAGCGTGGGAGAAGCAGTGATTGTTAAGGTGGAACTGCTTTATTCAGTGTGTTTAAGGTGGAACTGCTTTATTCAGTGTGTTTAGTGGTTTTAATCAGCGGGTCTGTTTGTGTTGGAGAGGAGGAGACCTCTGTGGATCATTGGGCTCCCGGTAGAAACCTCCTGAACCATGAACACTGAAGGAATCCTAACCGGGAGAAGCTGACTGCAATGACGCCAATGGTGGTGAAGACAACAACTCCCATGATCCCACGCTGCTTCACCACCTCATCAAAGTTCCTGTTTCCTTACCGTTTTAGTGGCAGAAATTACTGACTGTAAATTCAGTTAGTTAAGTTAAATGATGGAGGACGTGTGCTCTGATTGGTGGGTTTGTCCCAGTTTATATTATACATTATTATCCACCTGTTGTGTTTGTTTGAATCAATCAATCTGAAGACTGAAACGTGATTAATAAACTCTCTGATTAAATATAAAATGATTGTTCTGTTTCTGTGGTTTAAAGTTCCTCAGCAGTGAAACAGTTAAGCTGTTTTATATTTGGAGCTCAGCAGACTCTCATTGTTTCTACAAACAGCAGCAGGAAACAGGAAATCAGCAGAAACAGGAAGACAAGCGGAGAGCGGCAATGCTCAGAGAAATCACATCTTCATGTTTTATATTTTATATGTCCAACAGGAAACATTTCTATTTAGGATTTTATAGATTTTATATATATCTATAATATTTGAGCTGAGAACATGTGAGACATTTCCTCTCGGCACATTTTAAATCCAACCTGACCTTTATTGAAAGAAACATCATTTTTAAAGGGGCTGCTGACTGATGAAACTCACCCTCTTCCAGGTGAGGACAGGTGTGGGAACGCCCACCGCCTCACAGCTCAGGTACACCTGAGAGCCGCTCACATTGTAGACCTCACCTGGTGGAGTGACGATGACCGGAGCTGCAGACAGCCAGACAGACAGTTCAGTGACTGTTAAATCAATGATAATTAACATGAAGTTTGGTTGCAGAGAAGTTTCCACATCAGCCTGACACAGGATAGAGACAATTAGACTGACAGATGGGTGGAAACAGACAGACAGACAGACAGGTGGAGACAGTTCAGGGACAGAGTTAAATGAAAGATAATTAACATTGAGTTTGGTGGGCTGAAGTTTCAGGCACAAACAGGATGAAACAGGTCGCAGGAATCCGACAGACAGTAAATCCTCTGTGACCTCAGAGGAATTCAGTTTGCTCTGAGCGCGCTCAGTGCAGCTCTTCATGTAGAAAGGAATTCAGTGTTTTCAGAGGGATGAAGGTGGATTATCATCATCACTCACTGTCTGTTACTGTCAGAGGTTCAGGCTGCAACATGTTCAACTTCACATTCATCCATTAATACAGAAAATCTAATCAATATAATAATGATCTTAATCAATATAATAATGATCTTAATGTTTGATATTTATTTTGTGTCTACAGAAGTCAAATAAATGTTATTAATTATTTATAGAGAGGGACACACTACTTTAAGTCATTTAGATATTATATTAATGATTAACTTAAAGTCACTTATAATTACATTTATAAACATGTATGTAGACATCTGTAGAGTTGATATCTGACTTATATATATGTATCTATCATACCATTTACGTGATATATATCAGTATATATATATGTGAAAATACTGAATATGAAACTGTATGTAAACCAGTATGAATATTACTTCCATCAAAAACATCAATCATCAATCAATTAGGAATCATTGATTTGCTGATTTGATCCTTTGGTGCTGATGGATTACGTAAAGAGACACTAATCTGCCCCTGCTTTTATTCGTTTTACAGTATATATGTAGATATTAATAAATTACATATTATGTGTGTGTATAGACTCACTGTGTGTGTGTGTGTGTGTGTATAGACTTACTGTGTGTGTGTGTGTGTGTGTGTGTGTGTACACAGACTCACTGTGTGTATAGACTCACTGTGTGTGTGTGTGTGTGTGTGTGTGTACAGACTAACTGTGTGTGTGTGTGTGTGTGTATAGACTTACTGTGTGTGTGTGTGTGTGTGTACACAGACTCACTGTGTGTATAGACTCACTGTGTGTGTGTGTGTGTGTGTGTGTATAGACTCACTGTGTGTGTGTGTGTGTGTGTGTGTATAGACTCACTGTGTGTGTGTGTGTGTGTGTGTGTGTACACAGACTCACTGTGTGTATAGACTCACTGTGTGTGTGTGTGTGTGTGTGTGTGTGTATAGACTCACTGTGTGTGTGTGTGTGTGTGTGTGTGTGTGTATAGACTCACTGTGTGTGTGTGTGTGTGTGTGTGTGTGTGTGTGTGTTGTATAGACTCACTGTGTGTGTACAGACTCACTGTGTGTGTGTGTGTATAGACTCACTGTGTGTGTGTGTGTGTGTGTATAGACTCACTGTGTGTGTGTGTGTGTGTGTACAGACTAACTGTGTGTGTGTGTGTGTGTGTATAGACTTACTGTGTGTGTGTGTGTGTGTGTGTGTGTGTACACAGACTCACTGTGTGTATAGACTCACTGTGTGTGTGTGTGTGTGTGTGTGTACAGACTCACTGTGTGTGTACAGACTCACTGTGTGTGTGTGTATAGAATCACTGTGTGTGTGTGTGTGTGTGTGTGTGTGTGTGTGTGTGTGTACAGACTCACCTGTGGCGCAGCGGCCCTTGTTCTGGACGTTGATGGGTTCTTTGCCCTGACTCTGGGCTGTAAGGCTGGCTCTCTTCAGTGCGCAGCCGCTCTTGTACGTCACTCCGTCGGTACCGCAGACGTCATAGTCGCTCTTACAGACGCACAGTCCCAGCTTGTTCTTCTTGTCCGCGTCGCTTTTGACGCACTCCAGTCCGGACCCGCAGCGGCGCGCTGCCGCGCGGCGGCCCCCGCACAGCTCCCCCTCCGCGGCGGCGCACACCGTGCAACAGCCGCACGAGTCCAACAGAGACCCGGCGGGGCAGCCCTCCGCCGGGAGAGAAGCGCACTGATCCGGGTCACACGGTCCGCAGCCAGGACCAGCAGAGACACGGACCCAAAGCAGCGACAGAACCGGAACCAGAGCCAGAAAGACGGTGAAGGACTTCATGATGATCTGATGAGATCTCTGATGGGAACTCTGCTGGTCTGAACTCTGTGACGGTCTAAACACTCTGAGATCTGGTCTTTAGACCGAGGCGGTTTAAAGCTGCTGACTCCGCCTCACAGGGACCAGGAACTGATCCCAGACCTGCTCCAGTCCAGACCCGCTCTAGTGTACAGAGGAACAACACTGACTGAATAATGTTCTAATAATAATGATAATAATAATAATAATATAGAAAGGCCCTCCGTAATGCCAGAGGAGCCTATTATTCAGCACTAATAGAAGAAAATAAGAATAACCCTAGGTTCCTCTTCAGCACTGTAACCAGGCTGACAGAGAGTCACAGCTCTATTGAGCCACATATCCCCATAAACTTAAGTAGCAATGACTTTATGAGCTTCTTCTATAATAAAATTATTACAATTAGAGAAAAAATTAATCACCAACTACCATCAACAGTTATCAGTGGCTCTCCAAGTTCAGGGACTTCTGCCAATGTAAACTTAGATGTATATTTAGACTGTTTTTCTGCTATCGATCTTCATCAGTTAACTTCAATAATTTCTTCATCAAAGCCATCAACCTGTCTATTAGACCCGATCCCAACTAGGCTGCTTAAAGAAGTTGTTCCCTTAATTGGCACTTCTTTACTGGATATGATTAATCTTTCTTTATTATCAGGATATGTACCACAGTCCTTTAAAGTAGCTGTAATTAAACCCCTTCTTAAAAAGCCCACTCTTGACCCAGGGGTTTTAGCCAACTATAGACCGATTTCTAACCTCCCCTTCCTCTCTAAGATTCTGGAGAAAGTAGTCGCCAAAGAGTTGTGTGACTTTCTACATAACAATAGTTTATTTGAGGATTTTCGGTCAGGATTTAGAGTTCATCATAGCACAGAGACAGCTCTGGTTAAAGTTAATAATGACCTTCTGATTGCTTCTGACAATGGACTTGTCTCTGTACTTGTATTATTAGATCTTAGAGCTGCATTTGACACCATTGACCATAATATTCTTTTACAGAGACTTGAGCATCAAATTGGCATTAAAGGAACCGCACTAAGCTGGTTTAAGTCATATTTATCAGATTGTTCGCAGTTTGTACATGTTAACGATGAATCTTCAATAAATACTACAGTTAGTCATGGAGTTCCACAAGGTTCTGTACTTGGACCAATACTGTTTACTTTATATATGCTCCCTTTAGGCAACATTATTAGGAATCACTCCATTAACGTTCACTGTTATGCAGATGATACGCAGTTATATCTATCAATCAAGCCCGATGAAATTAATCAATTATCTAAATTACAAACATGTCTTAAGGACATAAAATCCTGGATGACCTGCAATTTTCTGATGTTAAACTCAGAAAAAAAACGAAATTCTTGTACTTGGCCCCAAAAACCTTAGAGACTCACTGTCTAAAGATATAGTTACTCTAGATGGTATTACCTTGGCCTCTAGCACCACTGTCAGGAATCTTGGAGTTATCTTTGATCAGGATTTGTCATTTAATTCCCACATGAAGCAGACTTCTAGGACTGCCTTCTTTCATTTACGTAATATTAATAGACAAAAATAGACACATCCTATCACAGACAGATGCAGAAAAACTAATCCATGCATTTGTTACTTTAAGGCTGGATTACTGCAACTCCTTAGTATCAGGTTGCCCCAATAAGTCCATTAAAACGCTCCAATTAATTCAGAACGCTGCAGCACGAGTACTGACAGGAACTAGAAAAAGAGATCACATCTCTCCTGTACTAGCTACTCTGCATTGGCTCCCTGTAAAATGTAGAATAGAATTTAAAATCCTCCTCCTCACCTATAAAGCTCTTCATGGTCAGGCCCCTTCATATCTTAAAGAGCTCATAGTACCCTAATACCCCACTAGAACACTACATTCTCTGAATGCTGGGCTACTTGTGGTTCCTATAGTCTCTAAAAGTAGAACAGGAGCCAGAGCCTTCAGTTACCAAGCTCCTCTCCTGTGGAACCAGCTTCCAGTTGTGGTTCGGGAGGCAGACACCCTCACCACATTCAAGAGTAGGCTTAAGACGTTCCTCTTTGATAAAGCTTATAGTTAGGGCTGGATCAGGTGAGTCCTGAACCATCCCTTAGTTATGCTGCTATAGGCCTAGACTATCGGGGGGATTTCCCATGGTGCACTGAGCTCCTCTCTTCCTCTCTCTTTCTGCACTCATTCATGTCCCATTAATGCATGTTACTAACTTCACTTCTTCCCCGGAGTTCTTGTGCTTTCTCGTCTCGCAGGTTCTTATCGATCCTGGTGGAGCCTCCTGCCATGGTCCTGCTTGACTTCCATTGCTAATATTACTGATATTAGTGTTATTATTATTTTTAATATTATTATTACTACAGCTACTATTATTACTATTGTCACTGCTCATTGTCCCCCATCCTCTGACTGTTGTCATCGTTGTCGTCATCAGTCATTTCTATTAGTATAGCTGTTGTTGTGCACCTTTGTCTCTCTCTCTATCTCTCTCCCACCTAAAGTCGGGGTCTGTCAGAGGTTTCTGCCTCTTAAAAGGAAGTTTTTCTTTGCCTTGTTAATATTGTAATAAAACAATAATATTAATAAGAGTTAAAGACAAAAACATTTTTATTTTCACTTTTATGACATTAACAAGCTTTTGTACATTTAATCTGTGACAGTTTGAATATCAGTTATTGATATGTATTGATTAATAACTGATTACTATCAGCTTTAGTACAGACCAGTACAGAATACTACAGACCATTGTCGGCTGCTCGGTGGGAAACTGACAAACAGGAAATACTCAGAGGTCAGAGGTCACTGTGACTCTTCCTGTTATTGTTTTTGTATTATATACACACACACACACACACACACACACACAGTTTATCTGTAACACATTATGATTATTATGATTATTATAATTATTATAATTATTATTATTAATGTTCAGACACAAACTGATGGATATTCAATCAGGACACAGACGCCTCATATCAACATGTTTTAATAATAAACAGATCAATCAATCACTGGATCAATACAACCTGTGTCTGCTGCATTTTAACAGATGTTTATTTATGTTCTTCATCATCATCTTTCACACTGAGTGTACTCACACCGTTAAACTGTGTGTAGATTTATATTTATGTACAGACAGTATCTATAAACATAAATACATACACTCTATACTGATACACATTTTAATGAATCAATAACCACTCTGACAACCTTCACCAACAAGGCAGACTGTAGCCTGACAGTCAAAACCCAGGGCATCAAAAGTCGAGCTACCTCTCGTTAGTAACTGAAGGAGCTGATCAATATTATTGATCAGAAACAGTCTCTTCTCACTAGTCCAGTATCTGAGTGCAGTACTCTGAGCAGGACTCTGAGTATTTACTTGCAGTATTTGGTGATGATCGCAGATAGCAGGTCTCTGTACGGAGAATCTGATCTCTGAGTTCGGAGTTTGAGGAGTTTGTGGATCGCAGGAGAACGAAGGAGGAGGTTGTGACTGAATCCCACCAGACTGGAGATAAACCAGTACAGAGCCATGGACTGGGAGGGGGGAGGAGGAGGGGAGGGGGGAGGAGACAAACTGGAGTTAGTGAAACTGCAAACATCCCTTAAATTTCTAAATAAAACTCAGTGTTCAGAAGAATGGGTCATTATATAAAAGGTTCTAACATTCATTAAACCATTATTATTATTTATTATCTATCAGATAATCAGCAGATTGATTGATAACCTGCAGTAATACAACAGGATGTTATTAGACCAGAATCTGGAACTCAGGTCCTGGTTTAGGTCTCAGTGACTTTAAAGATCCTGCTGGAGGAAAATGTTTTCAGAGCTTCCTGGTCTAGATAAAACCTGTCTGAGTTTGATCTGATGAAGGAGGAATGTCTGACAGATCTCAACAAGTGCAGACTGATGCTGGTCTAGACTCCCAATGAAAACCCTGAAGCTGGTCTACAGAGACTCACAGAGGGGACCGTGGCGGCAATGGGGACCATCAGGACGGAAAATCCTCTGATGACGTTGGTCACGATCCTCTGGAAACGAGATGGATTGACTCTCTGTAGAGAAAACACCTGAAGAAAAAGGGGGGAGAGGGGTTAGATGACATCATCAGGTCAGGTGATCTCACCCTGCTGAGTGGACTGACCTCGAGGATGAGCAGGTTGGTGAGTCCCAGACAGACTGGCAGGATCCAGGTGGAGTCCGGTACGGTGAGGTCAGGGATCCACAGAGTGCCCCCTGCAACCAGGCCGGACTGCTGCGCTGCAATAACACAGTGGTTAAAGTCCTGGTCCAGGACTGATCCAGGTCACTGCAAGTCCTGAAACTGTATATAAATTATATAAACGGTATTTTAACTATATAAACTGTATATAAACTACATAAACTGTATGTTAACTATATATAAACTGTATATAAATATATAAACGGTATATAAACTATATAAACTGTATATAAATATATAAACTGTATATGAACTGTATCAACTACATAAACTGTATATAAACCATATAAACTGTATATTAACTATATATAAACTGCATATAAATATTTTAACTGCATATAAACTATATAAACTGTATATAAATATATAAACTGTATATAAAATATAAACTGTATGTTAACTATATAAACTGTATATAAATACATAAACTGTATATAAACTATATAAACTGTATAAACTATATAAACTGTATATTAACTGTATATAAACTATATAAACTGTATGTTAACTATATAAACTGTATATAAATATATAAACTGTATATAAACTGTATATTAACTATATAAACTGTATATAAACTATATAAACTTTATGTTAACTATATAAACTGTATATAAACTGTATATTAACTGTATAAACTATATAAACTGTATATAAACTATATAAACTGTATATAAACTATATAAACTTTATGTTAACTATATAAACTGTATATAAACATATAAACTGTATATTAACTGTATAAACTGTATATAAAATATAAACTGTATATGAACTGTATCAACTACATAAACTGTATATAAACTATATAAACTGTATGTTAACTATATATAAACCATA